GCTCAGGTTTAACTGTCTCTTAAGGTCTTCTTTTGCTTATGAAGGCTCCAGCGTAACATATAACATATATCAAATAAATATGAATGATTTTCTCCTTTGTTAAAGGTGGTCTAGGCCAAAATATAGAAGCATAGAAGAAAAAATATGTTTCCTTTCCTAAACCAAATTCCACCTTGCTGATTTCCAACCCAACCCACACACATCACAACAGCCTTTGTAAGCCATATAATAATAAGTCTCCTATTCTTCATCACTCATAGTGGTTCTACTTCAAACAAGCTCTGACAGATATACCATAGCATTGTTTGAACATATATTTAATAAGATATAAAAGGTAGGTGAACTCTCTTTCTAGTATCTGTTTTCGTGTCCTAAAATGTGTCTAATTTGATAAGAACCAAAGTCACAAATTTTGCAGACCAGAAAGCAAAGTGTTAATCTGCATTTTACAGACAAGGAAATATAAGTTTGTAGTCATGTTAGCTTATAGGTTATAGAGCTGTAGAGTGATCCCAAGTCTTCTGAAAGAAGCATGTAAAAGTCAATTGTACAAGGGCCTCACAAGCAGATCATGTACAGGTTAAGTTAGATCAAATTCAGAAAATAAGGAATTGTACAAGTTGCCCCGAGGAGAATCATTCTTATCAATCCAATATAGTACATGTTTATAAAATCTGTTTTTATTTCTCTATGAGCAATTTTTAATGCCTTCAAAAACTTTATCTACTTTTCTAAAGTGCCAGAGAGTAATGTAGAGCCCAAGGACAGCTGCCTTTACTTTTTGGTCTTTAGGGATATTTCCCATGTGATTTCTTCTTCCACTAGCCTTGTTTTTTTATATGTTAGCAATATATATTTCAAAGGCTATTATGTACTACAAAATACTCATCATTATAATAATATTAATCCCTAGCAAATATTTGAAGTGTATCAATTAAAAATAATATTAGAAACATAAAAGTATCATTTATATATGAAACTCTTATTGAAGCAAGTGATTTTTTTTCTGTGAAGAATCAACATAAAAATGCAGACTTGAACTTAATAAAGCAAAGAAATTAGAATTTAAATATGAATGGATGTGTCCCATCCAACCAAAGATTAATGTGAATTTTTTGTACTATAATTATACAAATTATTTGAATTTATATTCTTTAGGTTCCAGAAACTGATCATTCAAACTTCACTTAGCTAGAAGTATTTGAACTTCTTATTTGAAGAAATTATACATTTCTTCTTTAAAATTTTAGCTTTGTGATTATTTTTTTATTTCAGATCCATTAGTGAATAATTTATCTTCCTAGATGTGGCCTCATGAGTTATCTCAACACATCTCTTTCTCTTTGCACCAATTATAATCACAATATCTTTGTCAGCTATGGTATTGTACGGCACTTCCTTACAGGTAAGCATTTAACTAAAGATGTGAAACTTAGTGATGTCATTTTTTAGGGTAAAATACATAGTAGCCAGCCTCCAAAATGTGCCCCAATGATCCTTGCGTGCTTTCATTCACACCCTCGTATAATCTCTCACAACATTAAATAAGACTAACCTGTGTAACCACAAGATTAGAAATGAGAGTGTGTGGCTTCTAAGTCTAGGTCATAAGAGGCATTGAGGCAGCCCCCTGGCTCTCTCTGGAATCACTCCCTCTGGAGGAAGCAGCTGCCATGCTGTGAGGACACACCAGCATTAATTGACAGCCAGGTGAGGCATTTTGCCAGTGGTTCCACTACCCCACAAAATCTTTCAGATGTCTTGCAGCTCTAGTAAATATCTTCACTGCAACCTCAAGATATACCCTAAGCCAGACCACCCAGGTAAGTCATTCCCAAATTCATGGCCCACAGAAACTGTGTGTAGTAAAAAATCATTATTTTTGTTTTAAACCACATACTCTTGAGGTAATTTATCATGTAACAATGGATAATATTATGAAACATAACAAATAGCATTTCATCTTATAAATGTATTTTATTTTTACATTCTAATTTTACTAAACTTAATAATTTATAAAGTTGTTTGAAACTGACTAGTTGAAATTAAAATTTTTATGGCATATTGTTTCCTCATAATATAAGAAATTGTTTCAAAATCCAATTATCAGTATTATTCATTCCTGTATGCAATGTCTAGCAGAAAACTTACTATGTGGCAGCACTCATGTACAGAAATATATAAGACAGTCCCTTCCTTGGACAGGTTTCAGTTTCAGACTGAGATAGATAAGTGGACAGATTACAAATACAATGTGTTAACTGATATAATACAGGTGCCCATAGGGTATGAAGGAATGCAAGCACAGTACAGAGAATTCTTCTTAGGAAGCCTGAGAATGTTTTACAAAAGAAAAGGTAGGCCTTGAAAGCTGAATGAAAATTCTCTAAATAGAAAGTTGAGAAAAGAGTCTTCACTAGGATAGTCATATTCAGACAGTGTTTGTGATAGACTATATTTTGTTCTAAGTACTTGAAATATAATCACTTCTATAATTCTCTTTATCTTATTACTATTATTAACTCTGCTTTGTAGGTGATGAAACTGAGACAGAGGGAGGCTAAGTGACTTCTCCATATCACACAGCTAAAAAGTGGTAATGTCCGGATTTAATACCAGGGAAATCCAACCTGCATTCACACTTTTAACTACTTTAATACAGTTTTGGATACCTAGGTGGGGCTAGGAGAGAGGAACAGTATAAACAGAGGCATTGAGAGGTTGAGAGTATGTTTTTCTAGAGAAAGAAAAACGGGAATGAACAGTAGCGATATGACTGAAAAACCAGGTTCATGAGTTGAAGTACAAGAATTAAATATAGAGCTAAGCCAAGGACTTAAATATCATACCAAGCATTTTATACTTAGGCAATAGGAAGTAGTTGATGGAATTTATGTTGTATGCAGATACCTCTGGAACAATGTTAAATGGGAGAGACTGGTTGAGGGGGATCAGAAGAAATCTCATTAATCCCCTAAAAAGAGAATCAAGGCCTGAAGTATAGAAATGGAGATGGTGGTAATAAGAGAAGGGAGCAAATTTATGAGACATGGAGTAAGCTGTCATGGAGCACGGTGACTAATCAAATGCCAAGCAGATTTAAAAGATGACTTGCAGGTTTCTTTCTGTCGGGAATGGATAGTTGGTTAGGTCATTGATCAAAATAGAAAACTGGAGGAGGAGACCTCACATAGAAGATGTGCTTAATAAACACTTCCTAAAAGAAGAAATAAAGTAGTAGCAATGCAGAGGCTATTTTTTTCCCTAATCAGGTGAAATGCCAGTAACATAGGCATTACCCATCGCACTTAATTACAGTGATCCAAGAAAGAACCCCCTGCTGTGAATTAAAAGTATGTTTTATACTTAAGAAATCTAATCTGGATGTCTAAGGGGTAGCTGCTCATTTTGTAAAGTAAGAGCCAATCCATTTCACTAGAAATTTCTGTAATGCACTTTTAAATTATTAACTTTACAAACATTAAATTTACATGTAGTTATTAACATCTATTGTAAACATTACAGAACTATATTTTATGATCATATTTGGTTCTAAAATTTAAATAAATTAAAGTCTAAGAAAAGAAAGTAAAATATCAGTCAATACAGGCTAAAGGGAAATAAAATCTTCTAGAGTAGCATAACTAACTGTTTTTCATTTAAAATTCTAAGCAATAATTTTATATTATGGGCATTTCTAGTGTACATTCTTTTAGAAATCTACATTACACAGTATTTAGTACAGCCTATTTGGAGCAGAGGTTTATGGCTCCGAATGAATGCTGTTTTTGCTTTGGTTGATACCATGGACATATTTCTACCTGTTAGAATAGATGATGCTCACTTCAGCCCAGCCCACCATAAATGGTGCAAGTGGGCAGCGTCATTTCAACTGTACCTCTTAGTCAATAAACCCAAATCATGCGATTTTATAACTTTTCAAATTTATATTTGTATTTCTTGTAACATTGCCATTGTTTGGCACATACAGTAGATTCTTGATACGTAAATGTTTAATGCATAAAATACCATCATGAAAAACAGAGGTACCCTGAGTATACAGAACACAACTTACAGTAATTACAGTTTCTGGGTGTTACTGATTCCACCACTACTGAAGAAAGAAAACAAGTGGGCTAGGTGGGGGATGGGCAGCACAAATACGAAGAAGCATTTTAATAGGTTAATGAAATGTTTTTGCTTGTGGTAAAAAGCGATAAGCAAAAACTCATTTATCTATTCATTTAATATTTATTGAATGCCTGACTAATTCTTTCCTTCAAGGAATGCACAGTCAATAGAGCATATCAGATGAGAAAATAGATAAATATAATTTTTTAAATGTAAAATGACTTTAAACAAAGGGATGAAAAATATACTCAGAGATTGAAATGCCATAATGAAAATCTACCTTCACATGTGTTTTTCCTATTTTACTCCAAAACACAAGGACATTCAAGATATAATAGCTCATTATAAGTCATTTTGGGAAACTCCTTTAACACTCTTTATTTTTGGGAACTCAAAATAGGATGTTTTGATAGGAAGAGCAAGGAGTATGTCTGAAAAGGAAGTTTGAAGCCAGATGGCATGTGGACTTAAAAATACTTTACCCTATTTTCTATTTGTCCAAAAGCTTTTCATTTTGTTTTATATTACCTACTGTAAAACTACAAATTACCCTTTATTGGTGGTTAATAAAATTGCAGTTCCAAAACAAAATATCCACCCAATCTTTTTAATCATTATGAAAATATAACCTTCAGCCTCTGTTCAGTTCTACAAATAAGAAAATCTGTTTCATTTGAAATCAGTGAGCATACAGGCAAAGAGGAAAAATAGAAGGAAAAAGCAAAGAAGGAAACTTGATTTCAGTGACCTAGAATCATGTCCATTGGGTGCTTTATTTATCACATTAAGATAGGGTAAAGAGAGACAAAGTCAGAACTGGGAGAAACAGTGTTTCCATTCATTTAAAAGCCAAATTTCATAGATCTTACCTGAAAAGTTTTTGTAGTCCACTAAATCAAACATAACAACAGCAACAGCTGACCACGTGATTATCAGAGCAACGACCAGAAGCCAGGCTGCGGGGGAGCTGAATGTGGTCACTATGTCTTCTGTGACTGTCCTCTTCAGCACTTTTCCAGGGGATTTGGGCACAGATCCATTTTTGTTGTCTATAACAGTCGTAGTTGTGGATGCGTTTCCTAACCAAATAGTCAGAAAGAAGAATTACAGTTTAGAAATTCACATCAAATGTTAATGACAAAACACAAATTATGTAAGTATTTGTAAGTCATTTATACTATTTTCTATAATAGAACACGTGTCTTGAGTGGCAGGGCCATACCTCGCTGCCCACTGCCGTATTGTCTCTTCCCAGCATTTTTCCTCCTACCTGAAACCCATATACTCCTATAGCCAGCACTCCATAAATGCTACCATTCAGACCACAAACCTTGCCATCAGCTTGAATTCATTTTTGCTTCTCCCTTACCTTCCCCCATATCCATTGCCATCATGGGCAATGAATTTTGAGGGTAAGTTGCTCTTTAATATCCTTTCTTTTATTTAAGCTCATTGTTAGGCTGAGTACAAGTCAAAGAATCTCCTCTGGGAGAGAAACAAAACAGTAACAAAATAGTTCAAATGGATGAAATTCCTTCTAGATATCTGGTTTCACTGTATAAGTAACCTTTTTACTGAGGCCATTCTTTATTATTGGTGAAGGGGCACAGAAGATCTAAGAGAATAATGTGTATTATATCCAGTAACTTTTTTATTCCTGCTTTCAGGTGTCTGCATGTTCATTTAAAAAAGTTTTAAATATAAAGAATAGTAAAATAGATAAATAGGCAATCCTTTATCATTTCATCACCCAGAAACAACTAATACAACTTTTTAAAATTAAAATGGTAAACCTGAGCCCATGTTTTTAAAAGACTAAAAAGCTAATGGGGAACATCAGTAGTAAAACAATTTGATTAAGATTTTTAAATGACTTTAGGTAAAAATTTACAAGAGTGACAATGAATCTTCTTTCTTTTCTGAAAAACTATGTGAATATATATCCCAAGTTCATGAACTCAATTTAGTTGAAGTGATAGCAAGATGGAAAAATACCTTTGAAAATAGATTTCACAGACTGTTTTTGAGATGGTGTTCCAAGAAGGAAAAATTAGAAAGCACTCATATCATATCCTCTCATTGATTTTTGTACCAAATTCCCATCACTTCTAATGGCAGTTCCGAAAATGGATGAATGATAGAAGTCTTTGAAATGTGATTTAAGACCCAGTAAATCGAACCTTTGGAATAGTGATTTGCAAAAGAGTAAGTGAATTATAAGTGTTTAGGAGAGGCCTACCTGAAAGTTGATATGTTGCTAATCTCCAGCTTTTGTGTTTTTTGTTTTTTAACCTCTGGAATGCTTTCTACTATCACTATACAGAGAACACTGGAAGAATTGCTTTTGCACTTCAGATTCACTTCAGTGAACTGTGTATTACAGAGTATTTCTGTAGACAATATTATATACACCTGCATGGTATCTTGAAACTGAAGGAATAAATTTACTCAAATTTGATACAAATTAGTTGAATCCTGGTCACATTTTTAGAAGACAAAATATTTAAAAAAAAATGGAATTTCTAAATAGTTTTCCATTTCTTGATCAGAAAGTAATGAAAATTTAGAGTTAAAATATTACTTTATATTTTAAAAAACCTGACTACATATATGAACTCCAAATTTTATTTTACCATATAATCCTGCCAAAACAATCATGTTAGCATATTTTAAATAGATAAAGATAAGAGTTAACTATACATTATTTTTAAAATATTTTCATATTTTCTTCATCTTCATATCCTCAAAAGTTCCACCTAGGAATAAATCAAGACTCAAAGGTGATAAAAATATATCCTGAGTATCAACTGCAAAACCACAAGCAACTTGAAAGTTATCTTGCTTAAAGTAAACTATGTATTGCCTTTGTTATGAGAATACACTAAGTTGTACCTTTCATTTTCCATTCAAGTTTACCACACAAGTCATGGAGCCCAGAAGAATAAAGCTGAAGGAAAATAAGTGATCTTCTCTGACAACTGGTCTAGATAAATGCAAAGAACAGTGTATGTAATCTGAGATTATTTAATGTTTGACAAGCACTTTGAGGATGACAAGAGCTAGTAATTGATATGGCGGAAAAAATGGGAGGTAAATACCACTGAGCAATTTAACATAGGCCATGCTTCTTGAAAGTTGGTGTCTCACAATTGGAGCAGAGAAGCTAGGAAATATAATAGTACTTTCCCACCCTGCTTTTTAATTTCATTGGTTCTGATTTCATACAAAGTATTTCGATTGCTAGACTCAATCTGTCTCAATCAGCTTCAAAAAAAGTGGGGATCTGCCTGAAAGGCCTTGTGACTTTGCTCCGGAAAGTACAATGAATGGCTCATGCAGTTGTTCCAAAGACTAGCTTCACAGTCAGGTTATGCATGGAAGAATATACCATGAGCATCCTGAAAGAAGTCACTTAACCTCATCATGCCTTATTAATCAGATGAGAGAGCTGCCAAGTGCATTTCCCATTATGGTTCCTATGGGACACTGGCAGTACAATCTCTTCCAGGATGTTCAAGGAGAGCACCTATATTCTAGAATGGTATAAATACAGTACTATACCCCATTACATAAAAGCACTAATTCTGAATTTTGTTTTTCACTGGGCAATATGGTTTGTGGAGTACCCTAAAAGTATATTTTTATCTTCAAGAATTAAAGAAAAAAATATACTATATACTATTAAGACATTATAAAAATATGCCTTTGTTCCAAAAGAGTATTAAAAATCCAATTCTCAATTATAAGGAAGAATAATCTTTGATAAATACTTTTAAGTATGCCAAAATATCCATGCAAAATAAGAATTTTGGAGAAACTACTGAAATATCTTTTGACAAATATGTTTAAATAGTAAAAGCTCCATCTTTAATTTACATATTTTATTATCCTAGTTTTTGCACAATGTGAATGTATTATTTACATAGATATTTGTGACAATTATGTTTTTCTACAAGTGCATATAAAATTAATGAAAATAGATTTTGAGAAGCAAGATACATCATGGCAATTCACAAAAATAAATTATCCTAGACATTCCAATTAATAGATAGATAAGATAAGGTAGCTAGATAGAACATAAGAAATTACCTAGAGTAATTTTTAGAAAACTCTAGATTCTAGGCCCATTTTTAAAAGAAACAGCACTACTCATTTTCAAGGTAAAAATTGCTTTTCTGTCTCAAACCTGAAACTGATCCCTTGTCAGTTTTAATGAATGCTCTAAATTATTACCTTTTCTTCCAGATTTTGTGGGATGTGATTATTTTAATATTTCAGAGAATAAGTTGGCTACCTAATCTACCTGCTGAGGTGAAAAGATATATACCTAGTTTGTATGTTATTTAGCATTTATTTCTGCTCATCCACTTTGTCTACTTTTCTAGCATGTGAATTTTTTTCTAGTGGTGAGACTAGAAGGTGAACAATGCCCTAGCCCTCAGGCACAGGAATGGGCCTTCAAGACAAGCCTGATCATTCATAACACTACCTTTTGCCTATGACATTGAGGAGATGGGGCAATCAGGGACTTCCACATCTTTTATGGAACTGTTTGAGGATACTCTCTTTCTACAGGGGTTGCTAAGCTGGTGGGGTCCACTAATGGCCCTCTGGCCCACTAGTTGGACAGTCTGCTACAGAACAAAAAGTGGCAGGATCCAGATTCCTACAGGTGGGTTCATGTGGCCAACTGTGTTGAGAGTCAGGTTTATCTTTGGACTTTCCAAATATGAGAGTATATCAACTGCTTTGATTTGGTTGAGTTTGCATTACCGGCTATCACGAGCTCTGACTGGCCCTCTTGCTAGAAAAGTAAATAATTCTTTTTCTTCAGCTGTTGTATCATGAGGAGTGATCAGCCAGAATGATCTAAATATACAGCTTCTTTTAAAAATTATTTTCATTTTAGAAATAAAATCTCAAATTTCATTTTTGTTTAAGTGGCTGCATTGTTACGATTCTAAACAAACAGATTCATTTGGGATTTGCGAAGTGAATTGCTGACATTGAGGTACTCTTACTATAAAGAGCTTGCTCTTGCTCCTGCTCTTGCTCTTGCTCCTGCTCTTGCTCTTGCTCTGGGTGAATGAGAGTCAGAAACTCCCTGCCTGGGCAGTGGTGCTGCTCTGCAACCTGCTACCCACTTTACAGTAGCCCTGACTGCAAAGTAATGGATGTCTCTTCTGGTATCACTTCCTCTAAGCACAGTTTTCCTTCACCTTTTCAACTTTCATTTTCAACTTAGTAGTTATTCCCCATTCAGACACTAGTTTTCTTACAAATAGCAAACTGAATTTAAAGGTGGAAAACAATGAGGAATGCATAACTAGAATTTATTTATTTTTAAAATTTTTTAAAGATTTTATTTATTTATTTTTAGAGATGGAAGGGAGGGAGATAGAGAGAGAGAGAGAAACATCAATATGCGGTTGCTGGGGGTTATGGCCTGCAACCCAGGCATGTACCCTGGCTGGGAATCAAACCTGCGACACTTTGGTTCGCAGCCCACGCTCAATTCACTGAGCTACACCAGCCAGGTCCTAGAATTTATTTTTTAAAACAAAATGTATTGAACTAACCGACTACATGTAAAATGTGTTGTTTTACCAATCTAAAGTTGGCAAGGATTTCTGATTATTTTTTCTACTAAAGCGAGAGTTCTACTAAAGCTTCATTGTTAAAAATCCAACTCCTCTTTCAAGAATCGTCTGAAATGCCAACTCTATAATGATATATTCTTAATCTTTTCAAATGAACACTGTTGATCTTACCAGTGATGCTATCACATTTTTTTGATAATACGAATGCACAGATAAAATTGTTTGATTTTTGTGAAGCCCTCTGTTTGTTTTCTCAACAAAGCTCTATGTCAGAAGCAAACCATCTATTCTTTCACACTACTTAGCAAAACACTTTTTACCCAGTGAGACCCAATAAACACTCACTATAAAGTGAAACTTCATAATGTTTGTTAAGGAGAATCAGCTAAAAAAAGTGTTATGTTAGATAACCTCAGTATTTCTATATATAGAAGGTTGTTCAGTGCATAGTAACATCTAACCAGAGAAAGAAAATGAAA